CCAATCGCACTCTCTCGCCTGCATTTCGCGCACTCGACACGCGCGATCTCCGCAGAGGGTTGCGCGGAAACGGGCCAAATGGCACTCTCGCCTGCATTTCGCGCGCTCGACACGCACGATCCCCGCAGAGGGTTGCGCGGGAACGGGTCAAATCGCACTCTCGCCTGCATTTCGCGCACACGACACGCGCGATCTCCGCAGAGGGTTGCATTTTCGGTTGACGCTGTTCGTCCCACCCTCCGCCTTTAAGAGAGAATTTATAGAGTGGGGAAATGTTTTTTCATTAGGACATCTCCCGTGCAAGTTTTCCGTACTCACACTTGCATACTCATTGCATTACTCATTAGGACATCTCCCGCGCAAGTTTTCCATACTCACACTTGCATTACACTTGCATACTTTTGCACGTGTTCATGTTCATGTTCAAGTGTAAGTGTGGAAGCGCAAGTGCTCAAGTGTACGCGTCGAAATGTCAGTGTTCAAGTGCAAGTGTGGAAGTGTCAGTGTGTGAGTGTAAGTGTAGAAGTGTCAGTGTTCAAGAGATTTTCCGGATGAACCCTTCGCAATGCTTTCGGGAAAAATGCACCCAGTGAATTTGAACTGGGAAGGCAGCTCGAAAGCAAAAGCCTTCATACACAATCCCGCGTGAGCTAGCATAGACATCCATAGCTACTGTGACTGAGCCATTCGATTAATCCCACGTCAACATTATATTTCTGTAAAACCTTTCACGACCCGCGCGCGCCCAACACCTGTCTGAAGAGCTGAGTGATCTGAACATTCTCCCTCCCACCGCCAGCTGACCTGAGCAAACTGACCAGCCTGACTGCCCGGTTGCGGATCAACATGCTCAATGCTCAGCTTCTCACGGTGTTGCCAAGCCTGCTGTGCTACCAAGTGGTTTGTTGTCCTCGACAACGCCTCGACTCAACAGGTCAAAAGTCTACAAGTTTTGCATGGGGCGCAAGAGAAACGCCGTTAACCGGTACAAATAATTTAATGTTGAGCAATGAACGACTGACAGTAAATCGAACACGTCGACCACGCACGAGGTATCTCAATATAATGAAACCAAAACAATTCAACTCAAAGTCGGAGGTTGAAGATCCAGCGCGCAGAATATTAAACATGTGCTGAGTGGAGGCAAACTTGAGAAGTGGGGGGGGCGAACGCGACGGAACACTTGGCTCATTCCACCACTACCTGCAAAGAACAGCTCCACGCTCATCAAAGTGTTGCGCCTGCCACGCAAAAGCGGCCGAGGCTGCGAGGCGTCCAAGCGCGCACACGCTCCGCCCATTCCCTCTCAGCGCTGCGCCTGCCACGCCAAAGCCACCGAGGTTTCACAGTGGCCAAGCGCGCGCTCCTCACGCCACGCCAAAGCCACCGAAGCACCGCAACGTCCAAGCCCAGGCGCAGGCACTCATATGCGTGGACGCCTTCCTACCGTATGCATGCGCATGGACTTTTCATGCGCTGCGTCCAATCTTGGAGAGGCTATCTATGGCGGTCGAGAATGAATGTGACTTCAATGCACGCGCGTCCTTTGAGAAACCTCCGACTATCTTATGAACTTGCGCCTGCAGCTCATATCGCTTGGTTGAAGACTTTGCGCTCTGCAACATTCGGCTGTCTATCTCAACAACTCAACAACGAATACTCCTACAGGTTTTCTTGCGGGCTGGCCGCTCCTGGTCTGACTTACTGTCAAATAAGATGGCTGACCAGGGAGCAGCCCAACCGTACAATCTTTTTCTGTCCGCACCGGGTTGGGCCAATGGTTGTGACTGGAAGCATGAACCACTCGCGCGGTTGAGATGTCCACGTTTGCGCGTGGAAGTGGACCGCTTGACTCTTTGGTGGCATTCGAACCGTCATCTCCAACCGTACTTAGAGGTACTGGAATATCGGCCGCTGGACTTGGCGAACAAGATGCAACAGTTGAGCGCACCCCGCTCTTTCGCACGGTCCTGTCCAATCACGACGCGGTCTATGTACCTTAAGACTCCAACGCTGCCCTTTGCACAAGTTCCAAGACAAACGACAATGTTTTATGGGAACGTTGTCGTTTACTTCTAAAGCATGTCGCATGCTCGCATACATTGTAATGGCACGCAGTGCCATTTCTCACGCCAATGTGTCGTGTGAGTGATAGAGTTGTCCTGATGATATTGGATGTTGCCTATAAAGCTACACACCAATGGCAAAAAGATGCTTTGCGCTATGTACGGTGGCGTTTTCGTGTCACGGGGTCGTTTTCACGCTACGGTGTTGTTTTTTGGCACGGGGTCGTGTTCATACCACGGTGGCGTTTTCGCGCAAACGCGCCGTTTGAGTTAAAGTTGTCCAACATGTGGACGGGTAACGTTGTGAATGTCTTGTGTAGAACCTATAGGTAGCACACTGCAATGTAACCACTTTGCACTCATGCCGCTTTCGTGTCACTTGGTCGTTTTCACGCTACGGTGGCGTTTTCTTGCCACGGGGTCGTTTTCATGATACGGTGGCGTTTTCGCGCCGCAGGGTCGTTTTCATGCTACGGTGGCGTTTTTTACAGCTGAAAACATATTGGGCTGATAACCTTGTTGTGTGACCTATAGGAGAAAGATACTGCAAAAACACAAGCTTTGCTTTGCATTGGTGGCGTTTTCGTGCCACATGTCGTTTTCGTGATCTAGTGTCGTTTTTCGCCGTGTCGTGTCGTTTGAACTTCTGCTTGCAGCATCTTTATTTGTGGCACACCACATGGGAGGTGTCGCGATGGAGGCTTTTTTCTTTTGCAACACAAAGCTGACTTAGCTCAGAAGGTATTCTTCTAGTTTCTGCAGTGTTTGCATCTGTGCCTTGTGCCTCACGATGGAGGTTGAACGCAAACATCTTTCATACTAGGGACTTTACACATCACGTGTTAGGCCTCAAATAATGGATTGGAACCTTTACAAAAAGTATGACTCACCAGTTAAAGACCTTTAAGCGTCAACAATGTTCTTAAAACAGGTTGCACAGACTTCCAACTTTGTTCCTTAGCTCACCGTCCCTTGAGCGTGTGGCGATGGGCCGGCCATTGCTTTTTCCACAAGGCGAGGTTGGTCGCCACGCGCTTCAGACCCCTACAGGAACTCAGGCTCCAGGAAATCCTTTGCGTTGAAGGTTTGAAGAAAACATAACAACGCAACAAGTGAGGTTTCTGTTCAGGCGTCGACCTTAAGTTCCTGCTTCTTATATTCATGAAGACACATGGCAAGTGTGAGAAAATATCTCTGGTATACTCGCGCTGTACATGAGCGACCGTGACATTTAACTGCCACTGCCTTTATCTTTCCAAGAAATGACTCCTCCTGGAAGGTATGAAAGAGGTTTGCGTTCAACCTCCATCGTGACACCTCCCATGCGGTGTGCCACAAATAATGATGTTTGCATCTAATTTTGTACATCATCACTCTTCTTTTGAAGTAGTGGTCAGCCAACCGATGCATGTGGAGGCAGTGCGATGCTTCCTTGGCCTCATCTTCAGAGAGGACAAGGCCGCCACGGTCGAACACTTCGATGCACCGTTGGAGGTTGTATGCTGTGTACGCCAGCATATTGAGCAATTCGTCCTGGGGCAATGGTCTGAGGAGACAGTGTTTTTTGTTTAATCATGGGAAGAAGGCCAATTGAATTCTATCGGTGTGTAAAAGAAACATCGCAACAAACATCTTAGAGGGCTCCTCTGGCGCAGCATCAGCCGCACTTTGCGACTCCACAGCTAGCCACCACAACAAAACCTTTACATGGGCGGCCTTAAAATCTTGAAGACAACTCTGCATAGTCGTCGTCGCCATTCAGGGCTGCGCTACAAAGATGGGGCTTTGTAGGCAGTGAAATCCTTGGTTGAAGCAGGGGGCTAGAATGGACTTGGTCAAGCCACTAACCCCAAAAGGTATGAACCGAAACACACTCAAAGCACGATTGATAACTAGACTAAGTAGCTTGCGCTCTTTGCATTTGGCCCGGATGCGATGTTCAATATGACACAGGATGTCATCTAATTGGGTGAGACCCGTGTCTCTGTAGACGCCCCATTCAACCAAGGTTTTCAACCCGCTCGCAAAGAAATCACGGCCAGTGCCCAAATACATATTATGTAAGAAGTCATAGCTCATGCGCTCAATCTGAAAGCCCTCCATGCACAACCAGGGGCTCAAAGACAACCTTTCCCGGAGCACGTACCCTGGGCGGTCAATCAGTGTAAGGTCCCAAGCTTTGGTAGGAGAGAAGTTTTTGTAGAGCATTTCCACAGGACAACCTGTCCCCTGGCTCGCCAAGCACCGGTCGCACATCCTTGGATCCACAAGATAATGTGTCCAATTCAATGTATACATTCTGTCCAACCAAACATGAGCAGAACTTAGAAAAACAAAGACTCTGTTCTTTCCTAGCATCTGGTTGCATTGGTAATACCGGGGAAAATGGTGCAGTTGCGCCCTTGCTTTGAGGTCGGCCTTCATGGCAAAGAAACATGCCCTGAGCATGGAATAGCAAACCAACACACCCAGCCCAGCACACCCTCTCAGAGTTCTATTTTTCTTTCATTCAAGAAGGAATCAGCAAAGGTTGCTTTGACATGACAGCTAAACGTCTTCCACCCGTTCGCTGCTTGTGAGCCTTTCATCTTGAACCGGTAGGTTTAGGGGTCAAAGCTCTCTCCATAGAATCCTGTCTCTGGAAGAATCCCTTCCAAAGCAACGGAAATGGACCAGGCCACGACTTCGCTGATGATGATGTTTGCAGAGGCTCGCACCTGGGCCGGGAATGGTCTAAGCCTTCAGACATCAGACAGTGAAACCTATACAAAGAAAATTGCCAAGAAGAACAAAAATGCCAATGTGAAAGGCTAGAAACATCTGGGTCTCGCGTGAACCGTTCAGGTATGATTGCTACTGGATACTTGAAGAGCAACACATCCTTCACACAACCCTTCACACTGAATGCACTTGAAACCGACCATACAAAGTTCTCATCGTTCCTGTAGAACTGGGCCCCGTCCCCATGGATGGTCAAAGGGATAAGGCGCTCAAAGTTCACATTGGGCCTTTTGAAGGCAGGGCGGTCTTTCCAAGGTGGGAGTGATTTGATGTGATCAAAGAACCCTCGCTGAGCACCATCATCTAGGTGTCCTTAGCATCTCTGAAGACCATATGTATGGACTTGCGGTCTTTGGAGACAAACTTTCACCAATGTGTTGACCGCTTTGCGAGAACTGACCTGGACATTGACAAGAACCCTTGGTCCTAGTGAAGGGCAAAAAATTATCTAAAGACAAATGAACAACTTGTTTCTTGTAAGACCCGTTTGTCAACCCAGCCACTTGCAAAGGTATGGCGACCTCGTAAGCTTGAAACTCAAACCCCCACAGCCCTCGAAGCCACCTGTGAAGGTCACGTTCCGCGTTTGCTACGCACTTGCCGCTCGACCCTAAGCCAGCGAAGCTTTGCAAAGCTCTGCGGGGTAGTGGATGGTCCACTACCTCAGTGCAAGGGTGGGAAAAACCACAAAGGTGTGAAACATAAGGTGACCATAAAGTTGGGCCCAGTAAAACTTTCACGAAAAGGTGTGGAAGAGTTGCCATGCAGCATGCAAGATCCGAAGCTGAACTCACAGACAGTTTGCCTCTCCCAACCAGTTCGACTAGTTTGTTCACTGTGGCAGATTCAGGTAGATCTTCTAATCGACTTCGCTTCCTTGAGCAAGTGTTGGTTTCTTCCATGCGTGGAGCACCACTTGAAACAGCGACTGCCCAAGGCGGCCGATTTCCTGCCTTGGCCCCAAGTTCAACGCACGGGCGCCTGGCCAGTGGGAACACGGCATGCGGCTACCTTACGATTCTTGTAGATATGGGACGAATCCATTTTTTCACACTTGCTGCCTGCATTCGACCC